TATATATATATATATATATATATATATATATATATATATATATATATATATATATATATATATATATATATATATATATATATATATATATATATATATATATATATTATATATATATATATATATATATATATATATATATATATATATATATATATATATATATATATATATATATATATATATATATATATATATATATATATATATATATATATATATATATATATATATATATATATATATATATATATATATATATATATATATATATATATATATATATATATATATTAGGGCTGTTAATGTGAACACAGGAAAAAAAAATTTTTCTCGGATTTGAATGCATAGTTGTTTATTTTGTGCCATTTGACATAGTAATTGACTGTGTAAAAAACCTTTCCAATCAGATAATGTTTAGGGGGTGCTCAATGACCATAAAGTTTTACGAAAAACGTCAAAAACGTGGAAAAAGTTCCAAAGTTCCAAAAATTTCTAGAACCTGGTTAGTTAGATTTTTTCCACTGAAATATTGTCTGATTGCGTGCTATATAGATTAATTAAAGTGCAGCAGATTAACTGTCATCAGGGCACCAGACTAAAAAATGTCTGCTAGTGTTTAAAACAACTGTGTTTATATCATTTTGTTAAAATTTGTATTCATAATTTTAATACTATTATTTAACTCAATTTAGAATTTGTTCAAACAGAATAAAAAGGTTTACAAGTATAAATATTATTTTTATTTGGAATTTCAGTTTGACAACAAATGTATTAATATTTTGATAGTACCTAACCTTAGTAACCTATTACAGAAAACTAGCATGGTAGTCTGGTAGTGTATTGTTTGTTATTAAGTGCAGATAATAATAATTTCTAATTTGAAAAGTCTTAAAACAACTGTTGATGAACTGATTATTATTTGGAATAAAGCCCGTATTCCGACAGCATTTCATCCGAATGTAGTCTTAAAGTTGAAAACTTTAGTCCAGGAATTTAAATTAATAAAAAAAAAAAAAATCCAGATTGTCAGATTCTCAGAAATCAAGAGAGAAATCATTTACAGACACCATTGGCCTACTTTTTGACATTGCCCACAAGGATGCTGAAACCATGATCAGAATTGAAGAAGATAAAGAATTTTTATTGGATCAGAGATGTCAGAGAAAAATGGTGATGTTTGGAGAGGACAAAGAACTTTCAAAATTAGAAGCAAGAAATGAAGCAAGGAATCAAGCAGAGAGAGAACGAAAGCTAAAAGAAGAGCAAAGACAATCTGGTGCGAGTGCAATAGTTCCTGTTATTGAACCTTGTGATGACAACGATAACGATGCTATTGATAATGACAAAATGGTTGATAAAGATTTTGAGATAGAAATCCCTGTTTATTACAGACAACAAGTCAGTAAAGCAAGTTCTTTAGGGTCAGCTGAATCAAGTTTAGCAAGTACTCCAAAACGACAATGTATCTTAGATACAATTCTTGACTCGCCTGATGTTTCATCAACATTAGACAGAATTAATCTATCTGACACAAAATTTACTGTACTAGCAGCAGCAATTGCAAGGGCTGGTGGACAGAACCTCGATGATGGATCATTGTCACGTTCTACAGTCCGTAGAAAACGAACTTATCATCGATCAAACATTGAAGCCACTGTTCGAACTGAATTCTGCGATTTGGACAAACCACCATTAATCGTCCACTGGGATGGCAAACTGATGATAGATCGTAGAAATTCTGCAGACCCTAAAGCAAATGTTGACCGGCTATCTGTAGGTGTGACAGGTCACAATGTTGACAAAATACTTGGAATAGCAAAACTATCAGCTGGAACTGGACAACATAACGATTACATAACATTACGATAATTAAATGTTAATTGCTCATATGTTTTTGAGTGGACCTACTTAGTAGTTGATAACGGTTTGAGAAACTGTTACTCCTTTACAATAATTTTTTTTTGTTTATAATTCGTATTTTAATCAATGACAAAGAGTCAAAAATCTTAGTGTTTTTTTTTAAAAAATTCTGATATAACAAAAACCGCAGAACTTTAGTCGTATTGCAGTATTTTATTTCATTAATTTCTCTGCTAATAAACCAGTATAAAGTGGATGTGGATTGTAATTTGTATTCAGAATTTAATATTTAGAGATAATTAAAACTGATCAAATCTGAAAAATCTAATTAACCGGGTTTTAGAAATTTGTGGAACTTTGTTACTTTTTCCATGTTTTTCACATTTTTCGTAAAACTTTATGGTCATTGAGCACCCCCTAAACATTATCTGATCGGAAAGATTTTTTGCACAGTTAATTAATATGTCAAATGGCACAAAATAAACAACTATGCAATCAAATCTGAAAAAAAAATTTTTTTTGGACAGCCCTAATATATATATATATATATATATATATATATATATATATATATATATATATATATATATATATATATATATATATATATATATATATATATATATATATATATATATATATAATGCCGTCCTTAAACAGATTGAGGTCAGCAATATATATTTGCCGATATATATTTACAATATATATTGGTGTTTGTGACTAGGACTGCATATACATTCATTCATCCTAAAATATATTAATCTTATTCGAAATTCATGTTATATTTTGTATATACATAGATATTTATATAAAAACATCATGATCATCATCAAGATCATCGTCATCTGCATCACTTTATTACATTAGCTTCTTTTTATGCTATTTTTTTAATTTTTTTAATATTACATCATATAAGCAGGCAAATATTACATCATATAAGCAGGCTTGGTCGTGAAGCGGGAGCGATCGCTCTCGATTGCTGACCACGTAAATAATATTTAGTTGCGAAAAGCTGGCCAGATTTTTTAGTCGTTTTGAGAACATTTTAAAAAGCAAAAAAAAAAGCGACTAAGATTAATTGGACCGATGAGAGACTATTACAAAAAAAAAAAATAAGTAGGCAAATAAAATATCTTTAAACGCGAAAAAACTTAAAGCTAAATAAATTGCATTTAGAACAAATATTTTCGAAACATCGCTCTTTTACAATTTTTTTTATAAAATTAAGCGATGTTTTTTATATAAAGTAACAACTTACGATTGTTTAAAAGGGAAACAAATATTCTTTATTTAACTAAGTTTGCAAGTTTTAGTTTTACTTAAGCTAAATTATTTTATAAATAAAAAAGTTAATTTTTTTAATATTTATTCTATGTTTCGCGTAGTTTAAAAAGTTCAACATATTTGAAGCGATTCTTCTTAGTTAGATAAACAAATGAAATAATTAAATCATTGAATTACTATAGGAATTAAATTAACAAGATAGAAATCAACTAAAAAGGTTAAAAATACTTAATGACCAGGAAGCGAAACTGCTTCACAATATCGCTGATGATGTTTAGTGAGTGGGCTTTCTAATTTTAATTAGTATTTAAAGCAGAAAAAAGTAAAACGAGTTTTAAGAATGGCAACTTAAGCGAAAATAATTAGAGTTAGTAAA